CTCAGGCGGGAGCTTTGGGGCACTGGACAAGTTACTTTAAATCATGAGTTTCAATGAAATATCAAAAATAGGAGTTTTGGCTCAAGTAGGAACAGATGAGAAAAGGACACAGGAGAAAGGAGTAAGCCTTCTCTGTTATATGTCATCTTATATAAAATCCTTAGTGCCAAGGACTTCTGTATGTCATGATTTCAGATCCTTAGTAGATAGAACATTCTTCCAGTTTCTAGTAACTGCAGTGTAAACATACCTACATCAGTGTAGTATGTGGTATTCTGAAGCCCATTCCTACTGTCCTGTTCAATGCCTTCATGTTGGCAACCTGAAATTGACCAGGATGAGAACATTTACGGTATGGAAATGAGCAAAAACTGTACCTCAGAGCTCCTTCCCCATCCCAGTCCTTTCCCCTCAAGAGCCAAGTTTCCAGGACAATATATGTTTATCCTTAACCCTGAAGAAATTGAGACTTGGAGAAGTGAAACCTATGCCATGGACATGCCTTGTAACTATTATGGTTTTCCATCATGGAGCTCTTTTGTACCACCCATGTCTGAAAGCTTCACTGAGGCCATTGTGAGTGAGTTAATTGTGTTGTTCTAGTGTTGCATTGGAGAACAATCCTCAATGAGTGTAGAGAAGTAGTTTAGTGCATCTGTGGATGACTACTCTTTGAATCCTAGGCTCCAATAATTACATAATTCTCAGACTATTAGTCTTCTGACTGGAAACCATGAGCTGGTTTTGTTAGCCACTAAAGTCTTAGCCACTGATGACTTAGCTACTAAATCATTGAACAAAGGGGAAGCCAGAAGATGTGGGGGTGAGTAACAGAATCGCAATTGAATTGTTTCAAATTATGCAATTCATACAACAGTACCTTAATGACTTGGTGAGATGAATGAAACACTCATTTGTATTCTAGAACAAGTAATTTAAAATGGACGTGTAGCGTTGGGGGCGTAGCTCAGTGATAGAGTGCTTGCCTCTCATGCAGTAGCATACACTTCTTTACAGAATGGAACATTGCTGCATATTCTAAGCTGCTTTTAGAACAGCAGTTTCAAAGATCCTTCAGAGACAGCATATTGCTGCACAAAGAACAATAATTCATATGTGCTTCTCAGAGCAAAATGCTTGAAGTTACTCTCCTGATCTATCACCCACACACTGCTTTCTCAGCATGGGACAGCAGGCAACCTTCTAAACTTCTGAAAATAAAATAAAATAAAGTGAAGTAGAATAAAATAGTGTAAAATCTCTTAGACTTTATAGGAGGATATGATATTATTTCATGCCCCTCTTCTCTGCCCATCTCTATAAACGATCATGTTGCTCCTTAGAATATGTGAGGAGAAAGACATGCTAACTTGACATCTTGTAGGAACTCCACCTTACCCCTTGAGAATCTCACTCATGAGAACTCTTCTTGAGTTTCAAGTAGAAAAAGATGCAAGTTGTATTTGCTAAGTGCTAGGCACCGTGCTGTGTGTACATTTAGTCAGCTTTCCATTACTATCACAAACACCCTGAGATAATCAACCAAAAAGAGAAAAGGTTTATTTTGATTCACTGATTTGGAGGTTCTGGTTCATAGTCACTGGGCCCCATTGTGTTTGGGCCTGTGGTGAGGTAACACATCGTGGTGGAAGCACATGGTGGCTCAAAGATTCTCACCTCATGGCAACTGAGAAGCAGAGACAGAGAAAGAGGAGGGTTTAAGGTCCCTCTTTCCCCTTCAAGGGCACCCCTCAGTAACATAACTTCCTTCTGCTAAGCCCCAATTCTCAAAGATTCTACCACTTGTCAATTGTGCCACAGTCTGGGGACCAAGCCTTCCATACATGGACCTTTGGGGACATTATACATCCAAACTATAGCACCGTCATAGGGTCCAACAGTGAATGGGGCAGATGTTGCTCCTGCCCTTAAGGATCTTATGCCTAGTGAGGGATACAGTTAAACAGTTAGATGCTGTGTGATGAAGGATGGAGTTTCCTAAGAATTTTAAGAGCCCAAAGGATAGTTATCTTCACCTCCAAAACCTAGTATTTTAAAGCACGATCCCTAATCATTTCTAACTTTTGAAACTCCAATTTATTTTTATTTTTCATTGCAAGGCATTTTACAAACACTCGAACAATCCAGCCTAATGATAACACTTGTCATTCTGCATCATTACTTGCTATCAAGATTTTTCTAGTTTAACTGCTATTAAAAAGTAGTCAGCATCAGTTGTTCCTAAACAACAGCTGGTATTGTCCTTCAACCTTCAGGGGTAGCAGAGACCCTGCTGGGCTGTCACAGAGAGGTTTTTGTAAATGATGATCTGTCATCTCTGTCAAGACAAAAAAATATTCATAAGAATGAGGAAGGGGAAGTGGTGCATAATGCCAATCCAGCCATTCAGAAATTGAGCCATATGGCTTAAAGAAAAAAGAGTTTGGGGCTGAGGGTGTATCTCAGAGGTACAGTGCTTGTCTAGCATGTGCAAGGCCCTGGGTTTCATCCCCAGCACTGAGAAAAAAATTTAAATTATGAAATCAAAATGCAATGCCTGTTTCATGTGTAGCCTCTTCTAAAAGCCATACACACAATGTTGGACTAACAGATGTCCTCCAGTCCTGTGATTTTCTTTATGAGTGAGGCACAGATTCAAGCTACGATTGAGACAAGAATGAGAGCCAGGCCAAGCCTTCACCCCCAAGCGCAGGGGAGGCTGTGGAGTCTTTCCAGCAGGGAGCTCTTTTGCAACATGTTTACACTGCTCTGCTGAGTTTGTATGGGCAGCCTTTCTCATTCATTTCAGGTGGGCACAGTCTTCCTCCTGTGGTTCTGAGTGGTATGAACGTGGAACGGAGTCCCACTGAGTGTCTTCTTGCCCCCAAATGCAATCATTTTCCCCTTCTACTGATGCTTGAAAATGTGTTTATTTCTGCAAAGCACTTGTTTTGTTTATATTACAATCCTACTTATAAAACTCTTGCTCTTGGTTTGTTATTATTATTATTTGTGTGTGTGTGTGTGTGGCACTAGGATTTGAACTCGAGGCCTCACACTTGCTAGGCAGGCACTTTACCACTTGAGCCATTCCCTCAGCCCTTTTTTGTTGATGGGTTTTTTTGAGATAGGGGCTAATGAACTATTTGCCGGGGCTGGTTTCAAACTGCAAACTTCCTGATCAGTGCCTCCTGAGTAGCTAGGATTATAGGCGTGAGCCACCAGCGCCTGGCAGTTCTTGCTTTTTAATTATGTTTCTTTAAGGTCTTCAGTTCCTTGTCTTGCTAAATTCTATGCTTTTGTTCATCAAATATTTTTGATAAATTAGGTCTTTTGTTCTTAAGAAGCCCTTTTGTTCTTCAGAAGCCCCTTTAAGTATCCTTTAAAAAAGAATTTATAATCTGAACATTGTAGAATTGTTTAGTGTTTTGGTCCTTCAGTTTTGCTGAACCTGTCATCCTGCTGTTGTTCAGACATGAGGAGAAGTTTCTAGAAACGAATAGCACATGAGTACATGACATACCTCCCGAAAGGGCCAGCCACATCTTCCTCTGCCTTCTGCCACCAATCCAACAGCCCATTTTATTTATTCATTTATCTGTTATTTTGAGGTGAGGTGTCACTATATTGCCCAGGCTGACCTAAAGCGATCCTCCTGCCTTCACCTCCTGAGTAAGTCTATAGGCACATGCCACCAACCAGCTCCAACACACCATTTTTGAAGCTTTTCTTTTCATGCTGGTAAGGGTAGGCGAGACATGGAAACTTGGCGGGGACCATGACTTCAGTAGGATGACTGCCATGTGAGTCTGGTGGGAACCAGGTGATTGCTAAGGTTGACCTGTCCAGCAATTCTATGTTGATTTTTTTCTGAATTTAATCCATTACCAGTTTCACTTCCTAAACCCAAAAGTCCATTTCAGAAGAGACCATTGGCAGACAGTTCTTCAGTGTATCCCTGTCTAATTTTTCCTAAGGTACTTCACTGATGTCTGAAACAAAATATCAAATCGCTCTTTTGAATATAAATGAAATTATAAAGCTGAGGCATGGTTTTCTCTCTCTTAGGATTTAAATTTAAACTTCTGTCTAGGTCATCTTTGAACAAAGTTTATTCTGTTTGTATCCATTAATATTTATATAGTTTTATTGAAAGGAGTTATAAAATCTTTTTTTGAAACAAAAAAAAAGATTACTGTTAACCTGTATATTTTGTTGCTTCCCTTCCCTCCATCTCATCTTTTCCTTTGAGAAAAGAGTTTAGTGGAAATGAAAATATTTCCCTGGATTAATTCCTTTGCCTTTCTCATTTACTTAATCTAGAAAGTGCCCTGTTAGTATATCTTTTATAATTTCAGGAAGAACATACAACCAATGAGGTCCTAATCTTAGAAAATAACACGTAAGTAGATCCAGTATATAAAAAAACCAGCCTGCTCACTGATGACATCTGTGACCTTATGGTTTGTTAAATGCTCTGAAAATCAAACCTACTATTTAAGAGGATAGATTTTGGCAAAACTCTGAAACTAGGCCCCTCTCCTGTTGCATTTCCTTGATTGAATATTAGTTTTTATTATGTCTTCATGAAATCTGATTGCATTTTAATCATATTAATATGCAGCTATAGATTGGTAAGATGGGCATTTGCCTAAAGTGATTTTCTAGAGACTATTGGTTTATAAGAGAAGTTTTGTAGCATGTGGAGTAAGTCATGGGGGAAGGGTCTCTCTCTCTCTCTCTCTCTCTCTCTCTCTCTCTCTCTTTCTCTCTCTATCAAAGTATAATTCAAAGTGATGCTGGAACTGGGGATTTAGCTCATCAGAATACTTAACCTAGCACACACAAAGCCCTGTGCTCAATCCCTAGTACTGGGAAAAACAAAAACAAAAAAGCAATAAATTCTCAGGTTACCTATGGAAGCTTGAACTATTGTTTTGCTAAAACTGAGAAATCTATTTCACTAGTGCTTAACTTCTGTGCTTTTGTCATATTTTTAGGGACCAAAGGAAGAAATAAAGGAGAGTTTACAAATCTTCAGGGAGTAGCTGCGTCTACAAGTGGAAAGATACTGATTGCAGACAGTAACAACCAATGTGTGCAGGTACAGCTCCTCTCACCTACCTTTAACGGCTACATTGATAAAGCAGGTGCAGTCACATACTTTCCAGGTTAAGACCGAGGCTATGTGGAGGAAGGAAAGACGCTTACCTACGACACGTGTGTAGACTTTTCTTAAGAGGAGCTGACTTGTTCTGACCTGTCACTCATATGACAGAGGTTCTCACCTTTTTCTTCCTTAGTGATTTCTAGTTAACATTGCACTGAGTGTAAATTTGCTTTACAGATGTTTTCCAATGACGGCCAGTTCAAAAGTCGTTTTGGCATCCGAGGACGTTCTCCCGGGCAGCTGCAGAGGCCTACAGGAGTGGCAGTACATCCCAGTGGGGACATAATCATTGCAGATTATGATAACAAGTGGGTTAGCATTTTCTCTTCAGATGGGAAATTTAAGGTAAGATGAAATTGTCTTTTTTGAAATCCAACCCCGCATTTGACAATTCTTTATACATGAAAACATCTTGAGAGAGTAACAATGATAATTTTATAAAACTGCTCATATATAAAAATGTGGCTTTGTTTTATAAAGCAATTAGTTGCTTACTTTTCTTTTTTTACCCATTAGATTTAGAAGAAAACTATTCTTTCACCTCAATTCAATGAAAAACAGCCTTCCAAAAAAGGTTTTAAAGAGGCTGTTTATAACTCATAAACTAACCTATAAGTTGTCACTTTCAAAGTGACTTTCCAGATGACATGGAAGAAATAGAATTATAAGACATGGTTTCTACCTTTAAAAAATATAAAATCCCATTGAAGAAAAAAGACTACTGCACAAGAAAGGACAGAAAACAACCCACAGCAGCTTGGAGTCAGTCACAAACTGGTCTGATCTAAAAACATAGCATTAAAGAATGCAATATAAGATTTAAAAAGAAAAGAAACTAGAGGTGGATTTTACAGAGAAGATGCAGGTTGAGCTACACTTTGAGGGATTCTGTCATTTGACCTATCACTAGTATCATCTTTACGGAAATATAAAAATGGCTTCTGTGTTAGTAAGCTCTCCATCACTGTAACAAAATACCTGGGAAAATCAACTTATGAGGAGGAAAGCTTTATTTTGACTCACAGTTTGGATGTTTTGGTCCATGGTCACTTGGCCATGGACTTTGCTTTGGACCTATGGTGACATTGGCAGAGGAAACTGCTAAATCATGCAGCAAAGGGAACAAAAGAGAGAGGGAGGCACACCTCCAATGACCTAACTTCCTCCCATTAGGCCCCAACTCTTTTTTTTTTTTTTTTTGTTTCATTTTTCTTTTATTATTCATATGTGCATACAAGGCTTGGTTCATTTCTCCCCCCTGCCCCCACCCCCTCCCTTACCACCCACTCCGCCCCCTCCCTCTCCCCCCCCCAGGCCCCAACTCTTAAAGGTTGCCCACCTCCCTGTAGACTCATAGACTGGGAGCCAATCTTTTAACATGGCCTTTGGGAGGGGAGTTATTTAAGATTCAAATTGTAACAGCTTCTATTTCTTCAGCAAGGGTAGAGAGCCCAGGGGTGATTGCAGGAATCCTTCATCTAAGATGTCATCAAAGAATTGCTGTCATGCAGCCAATTTGTACATTTATTCACAAGAAGATTTTGAGACATCTTGTCAAAGATCTTTTTAAAAGCCATACTCACTTTGCCTTCTGTATTACTTCTATCCACCCTACTACAGGCTTCTCTTTTTTTTTGGCGGCACTGGGGTTTAAATTCAGGGCCTCAAGCTTGCTAAGCAGGTGCTCTTACTGCTTGAGCCACTCCACCAGCTAGAGGCTTCTATTTCATTTGAAAACATGAACTTTTACTCAAATAGATCAACCCACTGGAACCCCAGCTCTGAGGCTTATTGTTTTGCCTTAGACAAACTGTGTAATTTCCTTAAGCTTTGATAGCTTCATAATTAAAATTTGGATTAAAAAATCTTTATCTCATAAGATTTGAGTTAAAAACTAAATTAAAATTTATTTCTGGATTTTATTTGTGCCTCATACAAAATAGACATCTAAGAAATGTTCTTTTCCATACCTCATGTAAGTGTCCAAAACATGAAGTCTGACCAGCTATGATGTGGGCTTCCTGAACTTCTGGAGGTTCTTGGCCACCATCACTTCCTTCTCTGAGGTTTGGGCTGCCATTTTGTGTAACTTATTCTGGAATCCTGAAGATAACATGAAGTTCACTCATTAGCCTCTGATTGGAGGGATTTATATTTTCCTTTTTAAAGTCTTTGGATTGTTGTGGTCACCTCATGGTGAAATCCTTACATAACTGTTAACCCTCAGATTAGAGCCCCTGTTTTTGTGTGGGCAGCATCTTTTCAATCTTGAAAAATAAAAATCTCTCATTTATCAAAATTCTTTGATACCGTACACAATTCTTCAATAGCCCTTGAATTTTTTTCTACTATAAATTTGATGGTTCCATATAATAGTCATGAATACAGAAAGATCTCTTGCCTCTAACCTCCTCTAACCCCCTCCCTTTCCTTTATATTCTTATAACTGTATTTGTGGTGACACATATCCAATGTGACAACTCTGATAAGAATGCAGTGACAACTATTCAGCAACCTCTCAAAAGTATGTATCTAGTTTGGAGGCAACCCATTTGTTTTTGTTTCAGACTCTAAAAAAATCATGATCTGTCTATAAATTCAGAAGCTAATACTAAGACAGGTTTCATATTTTGAGGCAGGAGTTTGGTATCTATGAGAGAAGGTTCCCCTGAATTAAACATTTTCATTCAGTGACTCAATAGAAATGAATAAATCTTTTTGGAAGAACTGGAATCTTAGAGTCAGAATAATACTGATAATAAAGAACACATGCCCTAGAGAGGATGGGAGGAATGGATATGCCTATTATAGAAATACCCTTTTTTATCGTAGACATTGATTGGAACCCAAAGAGTAAAAGAATGGCACATGAAAACACTATAGCCCTGTAAACAGAGTTCATCAAGTGTGAAATCTACAATTATACCAAGAAATTCTCTTTTTTCCTTCGTTGGTGGGACCCATTAAGATGAAATGAGTGAGAGGTGTATCTTTAACATCAATGCAGATTCTTTATATTTTTCTAAATAGTTTCAGAGGAATAGCACCATATCCCCTCTATTTTTCATTCACTAATTTCTTAGCTCTATTTTCATTCCTCTCTGCCGCCTTTAATTTTTTTTCTGTTCAACTTCCCTCTTGGTCAGCCCATCTGAGAGCCTTTTGTGATCTGAACAAATAAGAACAAATATGGTGGCTGCTCTCTGGTTACCTTATTCTAAAAGAACTTATCTCTTCTCTGTTCAATTTAAGAACCTATTTTTGAGTTAAATATGCTCTTCACAATTCTAAAGACATGACCTAAAATAATTTTGTTTACTGTTCTAAGATGGGGACAAATCCAGTGATTCTTATTTCACTTGATAGAATCCACTGCAGCCACACTAGGATGGATTATGGGTGGTGGAAGGAAAAGAAACTTTGGTTCACCATTTAAGTTGTTCTCTTAGATCTGGCCTGGTTATCACTGCATGATAGAATAGAGGTAATGCATTACTTTCTGTTTTTGTTCTAGGTAATTATCTATTTGGTATTATGGTTGAGTCTTTCTAGAAAACTACTTGTGTTCATAATGTCAGGTACTTATAATATTAGGTAGCAATAATCAGAGCACCAGCTTTTCTTTTGATCTCTGTGGACAACCTTCCATTCAGACATGACAGAGCATATGGCATTTTTTTACATGCTATTAAGTTATAGCTTTGATCTTTGAGCTAGACTGCAGAATCAGAATCAAATTTACATAACAGATTCCCTTGCCAAGCGAACCATTTGAATCTCAGCCATTTATAAACTTAGAAAAATAAAGGATCATACCAAGTCTGAATCCCCTTTGCGGAAAAGCCTCCATCCCTCTATTAGAAAAATTTAAAAATACATATATGGCTTACATTGTATTTCTGTTCAGCAGGACTAATATAGAGAGAGAAAATAAGAAGTCTGAAGCAGAACCTAGGAGAATATAATTGGGGAGGGGGATGATTTTTAATTCAAAAAAATAATATATGCAAACAGGCTTTTAAAATATTCCTACAAGGCCTGGTAGAGTGGCTCAAAAGGTAGAGCACCTGTCCAGTGAGCATGAGGCCCTGACTTCAAACCCCAGTACCGTAAAAAAAAAAATCCTACAAAATAGTACAAAATGACCAGTAAGAGTTTCTGTTGCCATTACTGATACTACTTTCTAAAGTACAGATGCTGTTTAGTTTCTCACTTTTCCTTCCAGAAGTATAGTTGTTTCTTGGTGTATCAGCCTTTTAATTGCTGTGACAAAAATATCTGAAAAGAGCAACTTAGAATGAGGAAAGAGTTTTTTGGCTCATGGTTCTCTGGACCCATTGCTTTGGATCCCGGCGAGGCAGAAGACCCTGAATGTAAGCAGGTGGTGGAGCAAAGCCACTTATTTCATGGTGGCCAGGAAGCAAAGAGAGACAGACAGAAGAGGCAGGGGAAAGATACACCCTTTAAAGGCACACCCTCAGTGACCTTCAATCAGTCCCTTTGACAGCTTCCCAATTGTTCATTTAATTATGTATCCATCAATGGGTGAATCCATTGACTAGATCAGAACCCTCATGATCCAGTCACTTCCCAGAAACCCCACCCCTGTGGTGAGCCCTTTTAAAAATAAGATTTTCAAATGACCCAAGCCTTGTATGCACATATGAATAATAAAATAATTTAAAAAAAATAAAAGTAATAATGTTATTCAACATAAAAAAAATAATAATAAGATTTTCAGCTGAGCACAGGGGCTTACACATGTAATCCTACTCCCAGAAGACTGGGATTGGGAGGATTACAGTTTTATGCCAGCCCAAGCAAAAAAAAAAGTTTGTGAGATCCTATCTCAACAGAAAAAGCTGAGTGTGGTGGGGGATTTGATAGGAGAATCATGATCCCGCCCAGGCTGGGCAAAAAGCAAGGCCCTATCTCAAAAATAACTAGAGCAAAAAGGGCTGGAGGCATGGCTCAAGCAGTAAAGCACCTGCCTAGCAAGTTCAAACCCCAGTACCTCAAAAAACAAAGTTTTCATATAAATACCAGTTGTAACCAATGGAGAAGACAAAGTCAATTTTCCAAAACAGAAGATCCTTCTGACACATGAGTGGTTATGACACCCTGTTTTAATATTCCAGTAAATGTTTACTAAAACAAGTGTCTAGCTTCATGTTTGGGGTGTTTTAAACTTGATGTCTGTATTTGTTTCTAACAGACAAAGATTGGATCGGGAAAGCTGATGGGGCCCAAAGGAGTTTCCGTGGACCGTAACGGACACATTATCGTGGTGGATAACAAGGCGTGCTGCGTGTTTATCTTCCAGCCAAATGGCAAAATAGTCACGAGGTTTGGTAGCCGAGGAAATGGGGACAGGCAGTTTGCAGGTACACTCGATGGTAACACGTAAACCCCCTTTCTTATGCTGCTTCTGCTCACATTTGCATGATGTTGGAGCATGTTGAAGATGCCAGATCCCCAGTGTGTTTCTGGCTTTGGGAAGATGCTAGGGATGTGATCCCAAGCAGACGCATGGTTAGATGCCTCTGGGTTACTTCCCGACAGTCAGTGGCACGGTAATCCACATGTAGTTTTTATTTGTGGCCGTTTACAACCAAAAGTCTAATCTTAACAAATTCATATTAAGTAAAAGAATGCATTTTAAAATAAAGGTATTGGAGGGATAGTGGAGGAACTCCTGTTCCCTCCAGTTGTATGTTTATTTGAAGATCCTCTGGATGGGAGTTTATTCCTCTTTTCTGGTTATTATGAAAGAACAGGAGTGCAGAATATTTTTCTAGAGCAAAAAAGCAGTCTAACTCATTTGTTGGCATGCTACTGTGCAATCACAAGCTTTCTTCAGTTTTCACATCTGCAAGAAGAGGCTGAACACAGTTCACTAATTTTCTTCTTGAAAGGATGCTTTGGGCATTTGACATCAATTTGCATAATCTCTCTGTGTGCTCAGTCTCCAATTCTTTGTCCTGCCAGATTCTGAATGTCACCCAAAATTACACAGTGTGGGTTTTCTGCTCAGTTTTATTTTAAAAAAATAAAATAACATATTGGAACCTCTTTCCCAGTGTTGAGAGTTGCCATGTCTTTCCTCAGAGGGAGCTGAGGAGCCCCAAAAGAGACTGACACATATTCAGACAAGCTGACAAGTGTGGCTTCAGCTGGCAGTGCAGAGAACGAATTCTGATGCTTACTGCTAATCCCACTTCTTTGGGGCTGCTACAACTCTTGGCTTGGTCTGGGAGAAGTCAGAGTAGACAATTACAGGTGCAGAAACATAAGGGACCCAAGTTATTTGGAGCCAGAGGTCTGACTGAATGATCTTCCAAGGCCTGGGTCTCTGATTATCTGTCCTTTCTTAAGTAATTAAATCTATTAAGTTTGTTTTTTGGTACATTAACTGCTGCATTGCAATCATTTTTGTTATTTGTATAGTCATCTGTTTTTCCATTTTTTTTTTTTTGCAGGTCCCCACTTTGCAGCTGTAAATAGCAATAATGAGATTATTGTTACAGACTTCCATAACCATTCTGTTAAGGTACTATTAGCACATTGATTGTTAACTTTTAACTGTTTTTGTAGAAAAATTGGTCTGGGAGAAGAATTAGGGGAGTTAACCAAAAAGGAAGATCTTGCTTTTGCTTAAAAAATGCAGATTTTAATATGGATGGACAGCCTTTGGAAAGTCGGGGAATTCACCAATATATGGAAGCAATAAGTTTCTTAATTGGAAACTGGTATAAACGAACATGATTTGAATGTTAATTTTTTTTTTTTTTTGGCAGCACTGAGGTTTGAACTCAGGGCCTCACACTTGCTAGGCAGGCGCTCTTACTACTTGCGCCACTCACCAGCCCAAAAGTTAAATTTTGAAAAGCAATTGCTTGAATGTAGAGGCAGAACGTTCTGAAACTTAATTTGTCTGGCTATTCAACGTGTTACAGCAATTATCAATTCTCTAATTTTCTGCAACATAAGGTGGCTTCTGCCTGTAATCCTAGCTACTCAGGAGGCAGAGATCAAGAGGATCAAGGTTTGAAGCCAGTCCTGGGCAAATAGTTTGCAAAACCCTATCTCTAAAAAACCCAACACAAAAAAGGACTGGTGGAATGGTTCAAGTAGTAGAATGCCTAGCTAGCAAGTACAAGGCCCTGAATTCAAACCTCAGTGCCACAAAAGAAAAAAATTAAATATTAGAACTCTGCCCTTGTCAGGAGAAATTTTTACAGCATGGCATCTTTATAAAAACTGGTTTGTTCATATTTCTGTCCTTTCTAAAGAACCAAAGAGGTTCCAAAAGGTCCTAGAATCATCTTCACATTAGATCTATGCTCTCAGCAGTAAATCTGAGGAATGCATGCTGTAAAGGTTCCTTACACACAATACTTTTTGATTTGTTAATATTTCTACATATCTAGGCACCATGGTGATGAATGTTTGAAATAATGTCCCAGAAACATTTCAAAACCATTGAGCACTATCTGGAATAACAAGACAAACATTATGCTTCTGTAGTGTCATCATTAAACATTAATGTTTTCATTCTCTTCAAATCAGTAATCTGTATTTGATGCACATATAATAATAGTGCTTAGTTAACCACAGTAACCTATTGCTTGACTACATCACGTATTGGAGAGAATTTGCTTAAGAGTTTTATTTATCCCTTACCTCCAACAACCTTTGGAGGTTCTACTGTCAAAGCATAAGAATCATGTAAACTCTCTATTTTAACTAAAATACCAACTGAGGGCAAATCAAAAGCCTTTGTTAATTCTTCAGCTGCTGCCGTTAGTATAAGCACGCAGGAACATACATGATGAAATTCCCCTGTTGTAAGTCCAGCCTCCTCTTTCTTATCATGTTAATGTAGTAAAATGGCAATAAATTAGAGCATCTGGCCTAAAAAAAACCTCCTACTCCTTGATGGAAACTGAAATATCATCCATCCTATTAGAAAGACAATGCCCATTCTTGAAAATTTATTTATTTAATAAATATGGCTATTTAATTAAAGGCAGAAAGAATATTGTTGAAAATTATATCTGTCCTCACTCATAGCACCTCATATTTATATACCATTTTATAATTTATATATTTCACATAAGTATTAAATAACTAGATATAATCCACAGAAGAGTGATTTAACTAATGGTAAATCAGATTTATAAAGTAAATTGGGGAGCACAAATGATATGGGGTCCTAGTTTATAAATTTTTGTTCCTTTTTTCAGAATGCCTTAAAACACAGGTCTTGTTAGAAATAACCTGCCCAGATAGATATTTTGAAAATTCATGTTGGGTCTGCTATTTTAAAACAAAAGCTTGAAATATTTCACCCAGGTATTTAATCAAGAAGGAGAATTCCTGCTGAAGTTCGGCTCAAATGGAGAAGGAAATGGACAGTTCAATGCACCAACAGGTGTAGCAGTGGATTCCAATGGAAATATCATCGTGGCAGACTGGGGAAACAGCAGGATTCAGGTACATTCAAATGCTGATGCATATGGCTAGATGGTTGATACTTGTTCAAAAGAAAGAATGAGCTGAGCCCCAAACTAGGCTGTTTATCCTTCTTGGTTAGTTAGATCATAAAACCATGGGTAATGTCACCAAAAGGACCAAACTATAAAAGGTAGAGTATATAAAAACACTATGGTACCAGCATGAAATTCTGTAATTCAAGGCTTTTTAACATGCATCCTACAGATCCTCAGAGTTTTTTGTGGATAGAATTGAAGAGCTCCATTGAACAAAAATACATTACTATTTTTACTAACCTCCAGGTGAAAATTATCATTTCTCTTAATTTTAAATATAGATAATAATCACAGTTTTAGTCACATTGAAACCAAGAAAAATCATAGAAAACTTATATCAGATTGTATCAGAGTGTCATTTATGTTCATTATGACTACAAAATTACACTATTTATTAAGCTAACTGCTACTTTTTATTATTTAATGTGTCAACTAAGAAGCACACATAAATTACCATGCTGCAATTTGTTAATATTTTGTTAACTATATTTTAATGTTTCCCTTTATAAAGTAAGATATTTTGTTTCATGCATTTTTTGGCAGTACTGGGGACTGAACTCAGGGATTTGTGCTTGCTAGGTAAGTACTCTACTTGAGCCACTCTGCCAATCCTTTATGCATTTTATGCATTTGAAAATACTGTTGTTTAACACAATATTGTTAAACAACCCACTGGCTAAAGAGCAAGTTTCAAGGAAATATTTAAAATGTACTGGACTGAATAAAAATGCAAATATAGTTCATGAAAATTTGTGGAATTGAGCAAAAGAAGTGAGTGAAATTAATAGCATTCAAAGCTGATGTTAAAAAAAGAGGAAAAGTGTAATATCAATAACCTACCTACCCCAAGAAGCCAGAAAGAGCTGAAGGACGCCAAAGGAAGGAGAAAGAAGATAGTAATGAAGTTAGGGTCAGAAATCAATGAAATTCATGAAAGAACATTAGAGAAAATCAACAGCAAGTTGATTCTTTGATCAGTGAAATCAACTAACCTCTAGCAAGACTGAAAGAGAGAATACAATGTACATTTGTACAGACTGAACAGACATCAAGTAGATAACAAGGTAATTTCTGTGAACAAGTCTACATACATAAATTTGATCCTTAGATGAAATGTGCAATTCCTCAGAAAGTAAAAACTCCATACCTCACTCAATGTGAAATAATTTGAATAACCCTAACTACTAAGGAATTTTAATTTGTAATTTTAAAACTCCTTCAAAAGAAATATCTAAGCTGGGTATGATTGTGCATGTCTGTAGTCCCAGCTACTCTTAAGGCAGAGATAGGCAAATTTCAAGTTCAAGACCAGCCTGGGCAAAACTAGCAAGACACTATCTCAAAAACAAAATATAAAACAAAAGGGCTGGGGGCATAGCTCAAGTAGTAGAGTGCTTGCCTAGTGTGCATGAGGCTCCTGAGTTCAAGCCTCAATACTGAAAAAAAGAAAACAGACTCAGATGGTTTCACTGAATAGTTATCCTCAATGTTTAAAGAAGAATTAGCGCCAATCCTATACAATTTCTTCCAGAAGACAAGACAAGGGAACACTTCCCAATCCACTCGGTTTCTGAAGCCATACCAAAACTGGACTAAGAACAAAAGATAAAATTACCATCCAATGTTCCCCCTGAATACACAGTAGACATGCCAAAGTAAATAGAATTCAGCAATATATTTAAAAAAGCTTTCGATGACCATGTGGGGTTTATTCCAGGAAGGCAAGGCTGGTTTCAGTCAATGTAACCCATCATTTAAAAAAGTTTAAGAGAAGAAAAAAAAAATCATACAATCATATCAATTGATGCAGAAAAAAATACCTAACAGCATACAATACCCATTTGTGACAAAACTCTTAGAAAACTAGGAATAGAATCTTTCTCAGTAAAGACTATTTATGAAACCTATGTATGTTCACCATACTTAATGGCAAAAGTCTGCATACATTCCCTATAAGATCAGGAACAAGGCAAAGATGTCTGCTCAACATAGTACTAGAAGTTTCAGCCAACAAAATAAAAAAAGAGAATTTAAAAGCTTACAAATTGGAAAGGAGGACACTTAAAACTCTCCATATTTGCAGATAACATTATCATTTGCATGGAAAATGACAAAGAATCTACAAAAAAAATTTCCTAAAAAGATTTCCTAGAGGTGATTTCAGCAAGATTCCAGAATACAAGATCAGCATAAGAAGACCAAGCTATATGTCTACATACCACCAAGAACACATGGCAACCAAAATTTAAAGTATAATGCCATTTATAATATTGCTAAAAAATGAAATATTTAGGCATTATACAGTTCATGGCTAGGCTTTATATGCTGAAAACTGGAAAATGCTGATGAAAGAAATCAGAGAAGATCTAAGTAAAAAATGGAGAGGCAAACTATTTTCACGGGGGTGTATGGGGGGGGGTCCCAAATAATGCACACACATGTTAGTAATTGTAAAAACAACAAAATAAAGTTTTTTTAAAAACCCTATTTTCATGGATTACAAGACTAAACAAAGACAGGTCAACAGTGAAGGGCTCTTGTTTGAGTCAACAAGGAAAGTCTATCAATTGGCTCCAAATTGATACACAAGTTCAACACAAAATCCCAGCAGGATGTTTTGTAGACAAAGACAAGAGTGTTTTAAAGTTTATGTGTCATAGCAAAAGAACTAGAATAGCTAAAATAATTTTGAAAGAAAAAGGTAAAGTGAGAGGAATACTCTGTCCAATTTTATTTAATAATATGACTGTAATAATTAAGACTGTGTGGTACTGGTGAACACAACAGAGAATCCAGAGCCAGGTGCCAGTGGTTCACACTTGTAATCCTAGCTACTCAGGAGGCAGAGATCAGGAGGAATGAGATTCAAAGACAGCCCTGGAGAAACAGTTTGCAAAACCCTATCTTGTAAAAAACCTATCACACACATGCAAAAAAAAAGGGCTGGTGGAGTAGTTCAAGCAGTAAGAGCGCCTGTCTAACAAACTTGATTCCCTGAGTTCAAACCCCACTTCTGCTCCCTCCCTCAAAAAAAAAAGAGTCCAGAAATAGCCCCCACATTTTTACATCCAGCTGATTTTTGACAAAGTTTCAAAAGCAAGTGAATGGACAACAATAGCCTTTTCAATGGAGTTGTAGCAAATAAAATAATCTCTGATGAAAAATAAATAAATCTCATCATATACAAACAATGGTCTCAAATTCATTGTGGCCTAGGGAGATAGTATTTGGAAGGTTTTAAGAAAACTCTTTGGAGTATTGGCTTGGTGAAGAATTTTTTGACATAATGCCAAAACTATTATCCATAAAAGAAAAAAATGAATAAATTGAACTTCATCAAAATTAAACACACTTAAAAAAATTAAACACACTTGGTCTGTAAAAGACCCCATTAAGGGGATAAAATACAGGCAACAGATTAAAAGGAAATATTGACAAACCACATTTCTGGTAAAGGACTTAGACCTAAGTATGTGAAGACTCAGTAGTAAAATAACCAGAATCCAATTAGAAAGTGGACAAGAGCTAAGAAGAGAAGTTTCCTGAAAGAGGAGAAATATATACACAAGAAGATATACCGTATTATTAGGTATTAGGGAAGTACAAAAGACCATTATGGCATCCTGCTGCATGCCTATTTGAATAGCTAAAATTAAAAATGTTGGCAATGTTAATATTCTGCTGAGCATGTGGAGAAATTAGAACTCTCATACATCACTAGTGGAAATGTAAAATAGCACAGTCAACTTTGAAAATAGTTTGACAGTTTCTTTAAAATGAAACATACAGTTATCACACAACCCAGCAATCGCACTCCTGGGTATTTAACTCAGAGAAATGAAAACCTATGTTCACATAAAAGCCTGTATATTGTCATTTGTAGAAAGTATATTTATAATAGCCCAAAACTGAAAGTAACCAAGATGTCCTTCAACAGACCAAACAAAACTGGTATTTCCATACTGTGCAATATTACTAAGTGTGGAAGAGAATAGGCCAGTAATACACTCTACATCTATGGTGCATCTCAAGGGCAAAGTCACACAATATGATTCCATTTATGTAGCATTTTGTAACAGTCTCACAATGACAAAACTGTAGAGAAGCAGAAGAGATGAGTGGTTGGCAAAGGTTGGAGACAGGGAGGGGAAGTAGATGTGACTATTGAGCACAGGTCTTTATGATGGAATAGTTCTGTATGTGTGTTGGTGGCTACACATGATAAAATGATATATAATTATTCATACACATCTCAAAGTCAATGTGTTGAGTTTTATATGGGATTAAAAGGGATGGGGACATGGCTCAAGTGGTAGAGCTCCTACCTTGCAAGTATGAGCTCCTGAATTCAAATCCCAGTACTGCCAAAAAAAGGGTGAGGGAACAAGGGAGAAAATATACAATAGTATAATTATAGAAGAGGTAACCACTGGGGAAAGCCAAATAAAGGGTACATAGGACCCCTCTCTACTATCTTTGAAACTTCCTACGAATCTGTAATTATTTCATAATAAGAAGTTAGCCATGTATGGTAGTACACATCTGTAATCCCAGCACTTGGAAGGCAGACACAGGAGGTTCATGAGTTTGATGGCAGTCTGTGCTACATCAGGAGACCCTATCTCAAAAAACCAAGGACTATGGCTATAGCTCAGTGGTAGAGTGCTTGCCTAGCATGCACAAGACCCTGAGTTCAATCCCCAGCATCATACACACACAAGTTAACAAAAACAAATAGTAATGAATTTGTGTTATAAATGTACTAATGGTATCATGAATAGCATTTTGGTTGAGTATAAAAAAATAATAAAATGGTTATATTCTGGGGGAGGGAACACTAAAATACAGTTCTGAGATGGGATCTATAGTCTTTTCCAGACTGTCAAAGGGGTCCAACACATAAAAGTTTGGTTTTTCTACTCTAAGAACAAATCTTTTAAATCCTCAAATTGAAAAATGACTCTTTCTCCCATTTCTCTGTATTTCCACCTATATAAAGCTAAATACATGTGTACAAATGACACAATGTATTCTTGCTAATGTGGCCTTGTGTGCACCTGAGACCCCAGAGGGCATGGATTAAATTTAGTAGCACTCAGGTGGCTCTGTGAGGACAGCAATGACCATCAGTTGGAATGTGATATGGGTATATACTCAGAAATAGTGTTGAGACTATAAATGTAACACAAAATGCTTTTATTTCTCCTGGCTTAATTATCCCCATGGACATCTATGTTAAAAGAGACATTCTATGTCTCATGAGAACTATTACCAAGGGTCTGAAACACTACAGAAGACAGAAGCTGGGTGGGGGATGAAGTTCACTATACAGGTCTACACAGGACCACAAATGCTATGCTGTTTGGACTGTGGCCCTCACAACATCTACCTAGTCACACTGTTTTTCAAAACTCCATGGAGATCAAATAAAATGTTCAAAAGAAACCAGCCTGGACCTCGGTAAGAAGTGTAAGGGCCTGGATTTGTGTCTTTTATTTCATCTACGATCTTGTAGATCAAAAGACCATTTCACATCCAAGTGTACATGTTGAACCAAGGAATTCTGAAAAGGAAAAGAAAGAAATCTCAATTTTGTCATTGTGTATTAGGACTCAAGATCATTTGTCCGTGGTCTAGTTGCTGATTTTTTTTCCCATAAGACTGGACCTGAAAGGGAGACGTGAGGCTGGAAGGAAAAGAAGTAAAGGCTGAGTATGAAAAGTAAGGGTCATTCATTTTTCACGCACTTCCCAGTGCCAGTCCCATCAGATACTGTGCGAACATCACAGGAATATGAATGGGATCTATAACCAACGTCAAGCTCATAGCAGTGACTCTGGGCACAGGGAGAGGAGAAAATACAAGGTCAAGTGAAAGTGAACAGAATATATATGACAGTGGCCTAAACAAACCTAGGAGGTTCCTTACATGCTTTTATATTAAGAACATTAGCATTGAGGCGTTTCTAACTCATATTTCAGCATATGACTGACTTCCATAATGTTCTTTATGGTTTTGCAGGTTTTTGATGGGAGTGGATCATTTTTATCCTACATCAACACATCTGCTGACCCACTTTATGGCCCCCAAGGCCTGGCTCTAACTTCAGATGGCCACGTTGTGGTTGCAGACTCTGGAAATCACTGTTTCAAGGTCTACCGGTACTTACAGTAACAATGGCCAGCTGCAAACTCCCTAGCAGAGGTCTTGCACTATAAACTGGAATGGTTTTTCTTGACGTGGGACCAGATTACGACTAGACTTTTCATGCTAGAAGGAATCTTTGGTGAACTTTCCAAGGTTATTTCTGAATGTAACAATTTCCTTAAAAACTGCTTATCCAATTTCCGTAATTCACTTTTAGGGTTTAAAAAAAAAATCTTCTACTGAATCTACACAAACTGCAAAGTTTTACACCTGTGAACTATGGCTTATAGGACAGGGATTTATGTAGTTAAACTAATTTTGCAAATCAAACATTAAAAAACAAACTAGCATATGTAAAGATATTTGTTAATCTTGTGAATGGTAGCCTTTGCACAGAGCTTCCAAGAGCAAAACCTGTTGTAGTTATATACTTTATTTCACCTAGGTCACAAGACCCAGGGACTCATCTAACCTCACTTTTACAGTAGGTATTATTCTTGTGACCTTTTTTGGGTTATCAACAACTACATATGAATTACTTTAGAAAAAAAAAAAAAAGGCTGTCTTGCAAAATCCTTCTAGGCCTCTTGAGCACTGAAGAATCAATGCAAATTTCCCAATCTTCCCGGATTAGATCAAAGATCCTTTTTGTGTGTTCTTTTCATCTTCTCTGCTCCCCTTTTTATCAGAAAACAAAAATCCATATTCAGGGAAATCTGACATTCCTGATTCTTTGAAGAGCATATTACAAAGTAAAGGTACCTTTTGATCAATGAACAGCTCCAGAATGATGTACTGGAATGTAATCAAGAAAAAGTTAAGTCATCTTATATGTGCCATGTTTCCACATGTGTCTTTCCTCTTCCACTTCATGAAAGCGAAAGCTTTACCTCCTACAAAATGTCAACACATGTAGCAGGACACCAGTATCCTAGGACAGAGAGCCATAAGCAGCCCTTTGGAGGACTGATGGTGTCAACCAAAGGCATGTGATTGATTCATGATTTCCCCTTAGCGAGCAAGTGTTACCAAAGTTCTGTTATCTCGAGAGCATACCAGGTAAAGGCATGTTCTGGTTAATTCTCCTTGTTTAATGAACAGTAGAGGCATTAAGGGACTATGTATACACGATTAGGGTAAGATAGAATGTATCATATATAAATATATATAGCTGAAATCCTTGGTGTATTGAAATAGGCAGCACAGAAAGACAGAAGCATTGTCCAGGCACCCTCCAGCACATCCCTTCACTAACGCAGTTTAAAGCCGTCCTTTGTGGAGCAAGCCCAAAAGCAGGTTTAATTTTTGTCATTTTCCAGGAATAATGGTGGTGGCTGACTTGTAGTCAGAAAATGGCCTTCTGTGCTTAAAAGAAAACAAACAAACAAACAAACAAACAAAACAGGTCAAAAGAAAAGTTGAACTTGAGTTATATTTAACTTAAACTAAATATGAAGGCATTTTGAGAAATGTTAAGAACAGTTTAGTTCATTGATACTGTAAAATAAGATGTGATGTATTTCCACTTTAATTTCAGTTCTACCAAATAGAAAGTTAGGTTTGGCATTTTTGATAATTACTTTGAGATCGCTTTTGGTCACCTTAGAAATGAACTATAAGAAAACATTTGCCATATGTATTAATTTATGAATGGTGATGTTTATTGTTTGTTAATTTAAAAATCTTTATATAGGGGCTTTAAAAGTTTAGCAGGGACATCTAGCTGCTTCCAATTGCTATTAAATTTATTATGCCCAAATCAACATCTGAAAAAAGATTTTAAGGAACATTTTACATTTAGGTTTAGCATTTTTTTAGTTATGTAGAGGTTTCAAAATATTCAAACCTGACTATAATAAAATGATAAAATTCAGTAACATTTTAAGAATGTCAAATTCAGGCATTTTTGCCTAATGTCAGTGAAATAAGTCTTTGGATTTCTTTATTTTATATTTTTTTTCTTGGTGTAGGGTCTCATACATGCTAAGCATGAGTTCTACTACTGAGCTACCCCTGGAGCCAGTCTTTGAACTCAATGTTCATATTTACAGAGTGTACCACACATTCTTCTAGGCACTGGAATAGCAATGGCTAAACCAGACAAAAATCTCTTACCCCTGGGAGCTTATATTCTGGTGAGGGAATTTCATTGAGTCACTTACTAATATTCTACCTGAAACATAAGCTAGATTTTTTTTTTTTTTTTTTTTTTTGGTACTGATGTTTGAGCTCAGGGCCTTGTGCTAGGCAAGCGCTTTACCACCTGAGTCACATCCCGCCCTTTCTGCTTTTAGGCTATTTTCAGATGGGGTCTCCTTTCTGGCCTGGGCTGCTCTGAACTGATATCCTCCTGCTTAGTACCTCCTGCATAGCTGGAATGACAGACCCCCGGTCACTGCACCCAGCCCAAGTAGACCCTAGATATTTATTTAAAAGGAAGATTTTTAAATTGGTTAAATGAACTTCTACTTATTTTCGTAGGTAAAAATGGCTTGCTATTTAAGATTCCGTTGCAGACTTTTGGATTTTTTGTTTGTTTGTTTTTATCAGCCCTGGGGTTTGAACCTTTCAGGCATGCTAAGCAAGTGCTCTACACTGAGCTATACACCCAAACCTGTACTATTTATTTGAAAACTAGTTTACCTAAAGAGGTTTTTTTTGCACAAAACTGAAATATTTGTGAACTTTGAAACTAACTTATAAACTAACCAATCATCGTATCATATATTTTATCAGGCTAGTTATCTCAAAAGCAGGCTTAACATAAATGTAAGGTTTTTGTTGTTTTTTTGGGGGGTTTTCTTTACATGTCAATATTAGCACAAACTGGAATGAAAGAATAGTTCGTTCTACTATTTGTTACTAAAACATATGCTACAGGCACTCCAGGAAACACTACGTCTTCCCAAAAATATCTAATCATATATGTTGTAGGTAACACACTTGGATACATTTACTGTATTTCTAGATAAAGCATATTTTGGGGGAAAAGTGCTGCTGAGAAGTTACAAATAGAGAAAACTTAAATACAATTTTGTCACATCCTATGGAAAATGGTTTCCGGTAAACTGAGAAGGATTAAAATAAGTGGCTTTTTTTTTCTGGGCTACCATTATTGTTTGATTTCTCTTTGTAAAGTGTATAGAACCTGTCATATATTCATGATAAGTAGCACTGAAAAAGTACTCATTCAAATTCCCCTGGGCACTTCTGTCAAAATATTGCCAATTAGGATTCAAAGGTCAAGTGACAATGCATTCTGTCCCAACACAGGCTTCCCCTGCTGGACATGGGGAGAGAGAGTCATTTGACCATCCAGAAACACATGAATAAAGAGCCTTTATGACTGTTGGCCATTTTTTAATGGTGCATAGTCTTTTGATGAAACTTTACCCCCATAACTAAACAAGTCCCCAAGTTTCCTTATTTTACTTTACTCTATGACTCAATTTGAGGCAAATAAATACCCCTGACCCATGCAACTGTTGCACACTTGTTTCCACTAGTAAATAAACAGGGTATGTTTAGTGTGGCATGAACTGGAATAGCAGTAATTAGAGCATCTGTGGATAGGGTTCACACTAATGCTTTGCTAATACTGAGTAAGCTGGAGACAGCAAATCAACTCAACATCAGAAATCTGCAGTTACTACAAATGGGAAAAAAATCCTTTTCTACATTTGAACTCTATCACACCCTCTCTATTCACCAGCTTCTGAAAAGGGGAGGGGTGTTTTTAGTTGAATACTTTCAAAACAAGACATTTCCAGGTAGGACAAAAATTGAAGCTATTTGATGCAAACCTTATTTAATTCTCCTTAAAACTGAAAGTCATAATACTGTTGCTTTCTATAAATGTTGCAGGGTTTTAAACTTTACAATTATTTTCCTATTTTTGATAACTAGGAATCTAGTATTGCCATAAAGGAAACTAAGTGCCCATTAAAGATTTGTTTGGTATAAATAAATAATTTTTTTTGTTTTGTTTTAAAAGACAGTTAGCTACAAATCATGATGCTAATCTTAAAACTTGCTAAAGATGAACTGTGTGGCAGTGGTTGTGTGATCTGTTTGTGGAGAATGTATGAAAGCTATTAATTAATATTCTAGGATAGATGAATAAATTGGCTATGTTGTTCCAATGAATGTACAGCACTTCCATTAACATTTGAAAGCAACACAGCCTTAAATTCAATGCTTTGCTTTTTGACATGGGAATGTCTCGTTACCAACAGAGTGTATTCTTGAAATAGAATTCTTTACATCGTTCTCAGTTCCATAGCTTTTCAATCCTATGTATGCATATGAAGGTTTTTTGCTTCTGTTTTTTCTTTTCAGATTTTGTACATTCCATCTTTACAGGTGTGTTTCATATGTTTTGTGCATAGAATACTAGTCTCGTGCCCTCTGACATTGATACTGCTATATTCTCATCCTTTGTTCTTTTACGAATCAAAATGCTGACTGCCTATTTAAAGAAAAGAATGAACGCTGTGCATCAAAGTGTTTGTATGTTGGTAGCTACATACGTACCACAGTATTTTGGATGCTTTAGTCTTCAATAAAACTTTAAATTAATTCTGTCTTAATAGGAGAAACAGGATTTGTGTGTATATCTCTAACATGCACAAAAATCTCAAATCATTATAATAAAGCTTGTTTTCTCCATTTCCAGGATGAATAATTATTTAATAGCTTGTTCCCTGAGAGAAAGGGAATGGAGGAATGTTCTGGAACGTGTTGAAGACAACAATAGCTCATCCAAAGTTTTATACTAGTGAGAAAAAGCTTAGTAAAAATTTTGTTGGTTATGTTAATCGTCTGTTGCATTTAAGATGTATGTTAAGCGGGGATTCAGAAAATTTTGACACATGTGTGTAGTATGTATACTTAGAAAGTTAAAAAACAGATCAAAACCACTGTCCTTTTAATCCTTAAAGAATTTCAAGATAAGCTGGGCACCAGTGGCTCAAGCCTGGAATCCTAGTTACGTAGGAAGCTGAGATCTGGAGGATCATGATTCGAGGCCAGCCCTGGCAAATAGTTCACAAAACCCATCTCCAAAATAACCACAGCAAAATGTACTGGAGGTGTGGCTCAAGTGGTACAGTGCATGCTTTGCCATCAGAGTGCATGCCTCAGAATCAGAGTCCTGATTTCAAACCTCAGTCCTACCAAATAAAATTCAAGATTAAGAGACCTTCTAGTAATCATGGCAGACACATTTCTAGGGTATGAAGAGAAGCCCTGACTACAAACATTACCTTTAGGGTTCAGAATTTAATTACATAGAGTTTATTACAATAAAAAATTATACATCAAGCTACTGGTAACATACTTCAAGTAGTAGAATCATCTAGAGAACACATCTGGACAATTCTCTGGACGTTTAGTCTCTGAGGAAACCTGATAATAAATTATATATGTCATGCCTTTTCAGAGAAATTAGTTTCCATGGTCCTTCTCAAATTCAGGTAAACATTTCATTTTTTTCTTTTGGTAGTGCTGTGGGTTGAACTCAGGGCCTTGCACTTGGTACACAGGTGCCCTTCCATTTGAGCCACTCCTTTTTGTGTGGGTTATTTTTGAAGGAGTCTTACTTTATGCCCTGGCTTGTTTGAACCCAGGATCTTTCTACCGGGATCTTTCTATTTGTGCTTCCCCTGTAGATGGGGATGACAGGTGTGCACCACCTCCAGTGACAGGTACCCAGCCATTGGTTGACATGGGGTCTCATGAACTTTTTGCCCAAGCTAGTAACTGTGGTCATCCCTATCTCACCTCCCAAGTAGCTAGGATTACAGCTGTGAGTCACTGCATCTGGCAACATTTCTTAAATATAATCTTTATCTATAGTGTTAAAGTTGTCCTTTTAAAACCAGTACTGTACTCACAATCATGAGGTCTAATTCAATTATGGGGTCTGGTGCAAAATGAAAATGCATTGCCCCTTGCTCAGAAGGCAGGGAAAAGCTTTTTGCTCTTCTTCTGTGGTCTCTCTTTCTACCCATCATGGTGATTTTTATTTGCTATTTAATGTCATTAATATCCCCCTTTGGTACGGGGACACTTGCTGGGTGAGTGCAGACTCTCACAGGAACTGCACCTCACAACTCAGACTTGCTTAGGAAAAGGCAAGAGAGTATGGTTCATCCGGGAAAGAAGAAATGCTTCAATATGTTAAGATCTCAGAAAGCTCAAGAAGTAATGATGAGAGATGAGGCAGGATTACAAAGAGAAAGGATTAATAATGAAAATATATAAATAGCTCAAAATATTAAGCACCAAAAGAACAAATAATTCAGTTAATAAGTGGGCAAATGTACTGAGCAGACAAATGGCCAATAAACACATGAAGATGTTCAACATCGTTGGTC